GCTGAAAACGCCTTACTATACATGGTCATTTTGTTTGGCTAAAAATTTCGTCCAAAAACGCCTTACTATACATGGTCGTTTTTTTCGGCTAAAAATGCCTTACTATACATGGTCGTTTTTTTCGGCTAAAAACGCCTTACTATACGTGGTTGTTTTTTTCAGCTAAAAACGCCTTACTATACATGGTCGTTTTTTTCGGCTGAAAACGCCTTACAAAACATGGTCGTTTTTTTCGGCTAAAAACGCCTTACTATACATGGTTGTTTTTTTCAGCTAAAAACGCCTTCCTATACATGGTCATTTTTTTCGACTAAAAACACCTTGCTTTACATGGTCATTTTTTTCGACTAAAAACGCCTGACGATACATGGTCATTTTTTAGCCTCATTTTTTTTCGGCTTAAAACGCCTTACTATACATGGTGTTTTTTTTTCGTCGAAAAACGCCTTACTATACATGGTCGTTTTTTGTTCGGCGAAAAACACCTTACTATACACGTTTTTTTTTTTTCCGGCTAAAATAGCCGTACTGAACAAGGTTTTTTTTTCGACCAAAAAACGGCTTACTGTATATGGTCTTTTTTTCGGCTAAAATCGCTTTACTGTGCATCAGGGGTGCCCAAACTTGTTTGACCGAAGATCTACTGTTCAATCAACCAACCTGCCGCGATCGACCTGTTACCGCACACACATGCATGCACGCACGCACGTACACACGCATGCCATGATGAGCAATAGTCTGACGCTGAGGCATGCGACGCACTTTTGCAGCCTGTTCACGACCGTATCTCACGCGCACCGTTTTCAAATGCTTCCTCCAGATTCCCATTCTTTGCCCGTCCCCTCGGTGAATTGTACAAATCATACTGAATGAGAAGAATGATAACGATAAAAGATATAGCGCAACAACTCTGGCCACAAGCTGCAACTCCAGACTGCTGAGTGCTAACAATTTCCGGTGTTGCAGTGTGCATTCACACAAACAATATATTGCTAACATGCACAGAGACACAAATGTTGGTTGTTGGGTTTTTTTTCCCTCTTCAACCCTCGGATCGCTGTAATGGGCTCCCGCGGTCTCAACTGTGTGAATTAAAGACATGGCTTGGATTTCGAAGAGTTCTAGGCAGCGAGCGGTCACTTTTCTGTAGCTGATGGCTTGAACAGGGCACATATCAACGGCAGGCGTTGGGGTGTTCACACCTCCGCTTCCATCGTACCGTCACGACTTGACGATTCACTTACATGGGACGGATAAATCTGCATTGCTGTCGTATCAAAACTTTTATTGAACAAAAATGCCACATTGAAATCACATTTCTATAAAAGACCATGGATCGGTTCTACAGTGCGTTACAAAACCCGCCGTCGTATACAAGATTGCGGATAGAAATCTCCCTCCATTTGATCTGAAACACATCACCATCTCGTCTCTGGTTCAGATGGAGAAAAACACAAAAACGTTGCAGCTACAAAGCTAATTTGGTTCGAATGAGTCTCGGATGGAACTTTGAAAAGGATGACGTCAAAGTATTGACCCCAAGCTGCCCATCTGCCAGCTTCTCTGTTGATGTTCGTGATGGAAGAAAGTCATTGTCTGTGCGTGCCGGAGATAAGCGCAGTTTTAATTTGGCCCTTTGGCCCGAGTGGAGTCCAATTCTCCTTTTCTTCTCTTTCTATTCAGACACAATTACTTTCTTCTTGTTCATCACCGCACCCATGCCGTTTTTTTCTCTCGGCCGGCGCAGACCAAAATCAGACCACCTTCATATCGTCTGCCTCTGGCCGACTTGACTCTGTCAGTGTTTATTTTTTATTTTTTTCTCTGTAACTTCTCCCATTTGTAACAACCGACATCTTCTCCTGAACGCTCATCCAAGCACGTCTGCGTGGCATTTCTGAGTTTGACACAGTCACCACGCGGCAAGTTTGAGGTCGTTACTGACAGATGCCGTGCTTTTCCGCGCTGGCTGGAAACCAAAAAAGAACAAATTTGCCTTCCGTGTGTTATGAAAATAAAGATTATGAAAATAAAAATGTTTCTGGGATTACTGTTGCAGTTGGCATCGTTGAAAGTCAGGAACAGAGGACATCATGCTCACATTGGAGTGGGGGGGGGGGGAGCATCCCAAATAAAGAAAACAAACAAACAAACAAACAAACACAAAAAATCTCTCCGGGCGACTGCTGTCTTTTCAAATAGCTTTCCCTCCACACAAAATATTCAATGAGGTATTATTCAATGTGAGCAACCAAAAATCACTTATGTCGTCACACCGGTCAGGGGATATTATTATCATACATACTTTATTATGATGACGATTATTATGATAAAGGATAACTGCATAGATGAGAACCTCAACGTTGAGATCGAACCAAACATCAAACGGTGGTGACTGTGTGTCCTCGGAAGGGACCACTTTGGCGGCAAACCATTTTAGCTTCCTGTTGGGAAGAAAGGACACCTTTGAAGACCGCAAATCAACACAAATCAACAAAAAAACGCCAAAGTGCTTTTTTTTTTTTTCGTTTTCCCTCTCTTTACTAAACAAAATGCACATTTGCAGAAATGTCACATGGTTATAAATAAACATCTTCATGGTCACTGATAATTAAGTAAATGATACAAATAACAATAATATATTAAATCTGAGTATAAAAAGTTACTGCTACTCGAGTGGAGGTATACACAGTAAAAAAACAAACAAAAAAAAAAAATCAGCAGTGGCCTGCAATGTACTTCTGCTGCAGCAACATGTTTCTCTACAGTCAAACACACAAACGGGAGACATACCCCCCCACCCCAAAAAAAAAAAAAAAAACAGTCAATGTTAATATTTTTGATTGATAAAGGGAAGCCTTGATATCATGAAACACACAGGAGGGGGAATATCAGCATTACATAAAAATGTTCGTTTCTTTTCCCCCAAAAATAACTACAAAATCTTATCATTGAGAGTGACATCGTCTGGGCCTTTGTCTTTTCTTTTTTTCAACAAGTTCCCATTCTGTTTTATGTCGACCATCACGACGACGGCTGAAGGTTTTTTTCCTCATCCGTTAAAACGTCAAAAATTTGACTGGGGCTTTTGGTAATCTTGAACCGTCCGATTTGTTTTGAGTTTCTCTTCCCTTTGGACTCTTTACGTTCGTTTCAATGAAAGGCATCCGACGGAGACTTTACAGTCATTCAATGTGCCGGTTCTACTGATGTCAGAATATAGCCTACAGTATTTTCCTTTTTTTTTTTCTTCTTTTTTGCTGTGCTTCAAAGCTAAGAGATGATTCTCTTGGATTTGCCACAAAAGCTATAAGATCTGCAGCTGAAACTTCTATTTCAAAAAAAAAAGCTAATTTGTCTGATTAAAACTCAAATGCTCCAGAATCAGGTGACCTCTGCATGTTGCTCGGTGGACACTGATGCAGGCTCACATTCGCCATTGTCTTCTCAACATCTTTATCGATAGCGTTCAAGTTAAAACTTCGGACCCGAGATTCAACGGCTGGTGTGTTTTCGCAGAGCGGACACACACCAGTTTGACGTATGAATACAAAAGGAAGCGACGGTGCCTTCGGATCTTGAATATGAAGTGTGAGCATTGGACATTTTCACACAAGCGGGGAGGAAAAAAAAAAATCCATAACACATCCTTGTGTCTTACACGCCTTTTCTAAACCTTCTTTCATGTTTGACTTATTTTCCCGCTCTGCTGTCAGAGTGACGGAGGAGGAGGAGGATGACACTTGGGGCGGCGGGGGGGGGGGGGGGG